TTCACTTACACCTGTGAAAACATCAATGTCCGTTTTGTCAAAACAGTTTGAGGGAAGTGTTTATTCAACAGTAACAGTCATTATGGAGGCTGGTGTTGGATTTTATCAGTATTTTGTCCATCTCATTTATATCAATGAAGGTAAATAAAATTAAAAACACCCAGCCTCACTGATACTGACTCAAGATTCCCTGCATGGGTAAAAATATACATTTATCAATGGTCCTTATCATCATCTCATCATAACTTGGACAGACAGATGAAGCCTACACACAGATGGTTTATTTGTGGGATAGTAGTGAGTCTTATTATTGGCTGTCTTATCAGCTTATTTCTTTTATGAGGTTAATAATCAGTGATCTTTATTTTGTCTGACTTTGCTTTCATATGCTGCATTATGACCTTTGGGGTCAGGGTAAGTGTGGAGCTTGCAAAAACATCTTTAGCCATGCTAAAGGCGTACTGTTGCATCGCCTCTCAGGATAGCAGGATGGATTCAAAATGCTAGCAAAGAGCATGGCTACCAAGAGGCGAAGCTCAATAGAACGCCCCATAGCAACAGACTTGCCCATGGTTTCATCCTACCGCCGCCATTTTGGACTGTCAGCAGACCGCAGCAGACCCGCTTGCATACAAAAACACACAGACAAACTGAAGTATATAGCTATTAATTATGATTACAATGCTACTCACCTCGTGATAGCTTGGTCACAGCTGCTTTTTCACGTTTTTGTAAAGCAAAATATAGACTTTAAAAAAAACAAAATGAAGAAAAAAAAAAACTAGATGGCATCTCTACATATTACATCCACTTATGAGAACATTAATTTAATTACTCCTTCAAAATCACCCCATAAGCCAATCTACCAAAAAATAAAAAAAAATCAATATTTTAACTAGAAACACATTAATAGCGACGTCACATAGTCAGGAATAAATATTTATTTACAGTTTGTACAATAAGGGGACAGTAATAATAATAATAATAATAATATATAGGCTATTTTAATATGATATATTTTAATGCTAAAGCAGTAATCACTTCTGATATAAATGGTCCAAGAGGCCATATATGTATGTATATTATTAATACAGAGATGGGGACTTGAGTCATTGTGACTTGTGACTTGACTTGACAAAAAATAAAGACTTGAGACTTGACTCGGACTTGGAAGTTAAAGACTCCGGACCTGACTTGACTTGAGACACAATGACTTGAATGACTTGAGTGTTATTCACATCATGTTTTCAGTTAGAATATAAAATTAATAAAATAATTTAAAAAATATACAATATAAAATTACCTGGTAGGAGCGCAGGCTGAGAATGGCGTTGTCATGATTAGATCACTACCCTGTCAATCAGTCATGCCCTCTCTACGTACCTTACGTGTTTATTGGAGAAACAGGCCCTCTTATATCAGAGAGGCATCAACATGTCAGCGGAAGAAGTACCGAGAGTCATCGTCTTCGTCTTTTGGAATTACCATTATTACGACAAAAGACGAACAGCACAGTGCAAGACATGCGGCATAAACACGTCGGACAGCCAGACGACAACTTCAAACTTTGTTCGTCATTTGAAGAGCCATTCTGCCCAGTAAGTGCTTGTCAGTTAGCTAATATTATCTGGTTAGTCGGTAGTTAGCTAACTTTAGCTTGATGCGATACGGGGG